GAATTCAGAGGAATTACTGAATTATGGGTCAGAAGATATTGATTTATTGATTAGAACATTTGGAGAATTGATTTCTGGTGATAAACTTAAAAATAACTTTCAGTATTTTAAACAGATCGTATTAAACTTTAAATCTATGAGTATGAAAGACTTTCTTAGAATCTTCATCAAACAGTATAGTGATGAATTTCCAGAATTTTCTAAATTAGCAAAGATAGCCTCAGTATTGCCAATTTCATCAGCTGATGCTGAGAGAGGCTTTTCAGCCATGAAAAGAATAAAGACATGTGCTCGAAATAGGATATCTGAAGGAAAACTGAAAACATTAATGATGATTACACTTGAAGGGCCAGATATGTCAAATTCCCAAGATGTAATTATAAGAGCACATAAGATATTTCAGTCTTGTAAAATACGTAGAGGGGGAAGCAGTGTAAATAAGTAGAGAGGGAAGCACACTAATAAAAATATTTTACATAAATTTAGATTTTGTTTTATTTTATTTTTCTATTATATTTCAATATTAGCATATTACAGCATTATAATTGTTATAATTCATGTACTAATAATCTATTAAGTATTTTTCAGAAAGATTATATTTGTTTAAAAATTTATGTAAAGGACCCATTTTTTTTCAAAAGGACCCAGTTTTTTAAAAGTCATGGGTCCCAGGGACCCGGGATTTTGAAAGCCTAGTGTCTTCCCTGTATGAAGCTTATTAACAAAACCATATGAGATACGCATTTGTTTAGAAGAGTTCACCTTCACTTTTAACAGTTAATTTTATAGACTGATTTATAGCTTAGTTATGAGTAATCTCCTTAGCCCCTTAAGTGACCTGCATATGCACTACTTTGAAGAGAAACTCTTCTATGTATCAAAGTTTCCTATATAAGTTATATCAAGGATTGTTTCAAATTGCAGAACAATGCTGACATTGATCATGTTTTCAATATCATGAATTCTATAGATCCTTGTTCAAGTTCATTTTAAGTTTGTTAAGATCACTTTAAGTTTGAACAGGAAAATAATTAGTAATGACCTTGCTTAGAGGTTCTTATAACTAATAATTGTGACAAATTTCTTACTATTATTTAGCAGAAACCATTAACAGTTGCATTCCCTCTTCATAACCATTCATCCCATCTCCCCAACCAAATGATAGCAGCCTGATGTGCACTTGTAATGTGCCTTTAAAATTTGGTCAAATAGTTATCTCCTCAATGACGAGCTCCTTTACCATAAAGCTATCGCTGCAGACTGCAGCTTTCCTTCTAATATTATTGATTCTATCAATAGAAAACCAATCATGCAATCCACCAAACTCTAATTCGAACTTTAATAATTTGATTATTTTACAGTAATCTCTAAAAATCAGTTCTTAAATTACTAAGATTTTGAATAAATTTGAATTTTAAGTCGCTTTTTCTCCTATAAATAAACTAAATTTCACCAACCTTAAAGAATCAATTGCTGATATTAATAGCTGGGATATTCATCAAATTTTAAGTCAGTGTGGTTTAACGTATATAGGACAAACTAAACGGACTCCTAAACTTTCACTTAAAGAACACAAAAGATATGTTTCAAATCACGACATTAACCAATCTTTTATCGCTCAACATATTTAGAATTCTAACCACAGGTTTGAGATTCCTTCTGCCAAAGTCATTGAACACTGCTCTTTATCTACCAAACTTGATTTTTGGGAATCATTACATGCTTTGAAAACTTCTAATAGTTTAGTTAATGATCTTTCTAGTATATCTTTCTCCCCTATTTAGAAGTGTAATTTAATCTGTTACATCCTGGGGTTTCTACCAAATCCCCTCACACCTCTTTCTTATATCCCTTTTTTATTACCTTGCAGAAATTTGTTCCTTTGTCCTTATTAGTTAAATCATTTTGCACCTGTTTTTCTCTTTACTTCTCTACTATCTTTTGGTGTTTTACGACCCTGAGGAAGATTTTTGTCTAAAGAACCAAAACTATAGTGTGCCCATTTCTGTGTCATTTGTACTTTATTCACATTTCTTTTTTGCTTTAGTCAACTTAGCTTAGTACAAAGTATACCCTATCCTTTTTCGGAAACTCAAGTTAGTTTGCCACCCACATTTTTGTTAACCACCCAGTGACAAAGGAGGATAAATATACACAAGATGTATTAAAATATAGCTTGTTTGCTTTTCTCATGAGCCATTTATCATCAGATTTACATTGTAGTCACTCTAAATGCTAAGCATATAAAGGCATTTAATAGAAAACATTGTCAGCTATGTTTATTTTCAATTTGATTATACCTGCATGTGGCTAGTGTAATCCACAACACAATACACAGTTAACTCTCCTGTTTTCTGGGAAGATTTAATTTATATATTTAAAGCAGTAACAAAATTTATTCTTTTTATTTTAATCTTTCAATAACAAATTTGGTTTAAAACTATTTTGATTACCATTATACATAAATAATTGACACAAATATATTAACCGCTTAACAGCGTCTTATTTCTGGCAAATTGGGTCAAAAAATAAGCATATTTTTGAGAAACAAATGTCAGTTAAAATCGATTATATAAACTCAAATCAAGAGTCAAAACTATTACAATTATTGATTTTATGAAATAATTTCAATTTTTATTTAGAGCAAAAACAATTGCATTTTTACTTAAAGTTGGCCTTTCTACTAAGATAGTGAAAACAAAATTCACTTTTCCCACGTAAAAGAAAAGTGCCAAAACCTTTTGCAATCATACCTCTACTGGACTACCAGAGCCATCTGTTAGAAACATTGTAAACAAAATAAACAAAAAATTCGGGCAATCATTGCAATAGAGTAAAAAAAATCAGTCCACAAGCGGCGCTTGGGCAAAACAGGGAAGGCCCCTTTTCAAGTACCCGAATGGTGTTCGGTCAAAACTGGGAAGTGGTAAAAAACTTGATAACTTCATGTGACTCTTTCAAGCTAATTATATTTAAAACAGTAACTTCATCCAGTTAAATCTGTGGTATTAAAGACTGGCAAAATAAAATAACTTTGCAAAAGAGATAAGACCAAAGTAAGATATTTCCCTGGATGTTAGTTTTTTCGAAACTTTCACTAACAACCCTTATTTACGTAACCCTTAATTTCACTTTTTAATAAATTTATTATAACTGTAAAAATATGTGTTTATCTTACCATATGATTAACACTAGGGAAAGATGGCCCTTGAGTCAAAAGAATTTCCACTATGTCTGTATTTCCAGACCAAGATGCCAAATGTAAAGGTGTACAGCCTTTATGATCAACAATATTAGCTGAAGCTTCAAAACTGAGTAGTAACTTAACAATTTCACTGAAATAATATAAAGTATAAATAAAAATTCGGGCATTATTTTAGGTAAGCAGACACTAAAAAATTAAATAAGCATGTGCATTATTATAAAAGTCTAAAAAAAAATAACTGTGTAGAAAATCTCAAACCAAGAGAAGCAGAGTGATTTGAAAAGAAAAAAATATTTTTTTCCACATTTAGTCAGCCTGACATATCAAAAATGATCTTTTAAAAACAGCTTGAAAAAAGTATTAAATAAGGTCAGAATTCTTTAAGTCTGTTCATTAAATCAATAATGAATGTTAAGCTATCTTAAATCCAGAAAGAGGATGTAAAAAAAATTATACATAGGATCTTGTAATGGATTGCAAGCATTACAAAAAAATATTGCAATTCTTTTTAGAGAAAGGAAAAGAGTTTATTCTGATTGTTAGAAAATGTTCGTAAATTTGACATGTTCAGTAAACATACATCCTGATATGGGACTGTATTTCATATAGTAATCAGGCAATTATAGCTGTTACGCAAACTACAATCGCCAAAGCATCACATGAATTCTGAACTTTAAATTTTAAAAAAAAAACATGTAGAGGTTTGCCGTGGGTAGCTATGAGCTATACTAGAGGTGCACAACTTGTGGCCGGATAACTTCCAATGAGTGGCCCGTGGCAACATCTAAAAAGAATAAAAAAATTATATCCTTTTTTTTTAAGGACAAAAAATCGGTAATTTGAAATTGCGCATTCAATTTTTTGACGTTCTTACATTTAATCAATGTATTTTTTCAATCCCTCTTTTTCATGGTTTTATAGGTTAGGTTACAGATTTATACATAGTTTAAAAGATTCCAATATTTTTAATATGATACGATATTATTATGATAGGCAAATTTCAAATTTTAGTTATCACTTTTGACGTTCTTCAAGTGCTCGTATATCCCCCTAAATAATGACTTTTTTATAATTTTTTGATAATTATTGATATGGATTTCTACGTAGTTTCAAAACTCTTGATTTTTTAAATATGTTTCAACAAGGGCGCCGGCAGAATAATATAAAAGGGGGGTGCAACCCTCAAAAAAAAATATTCTGTTATTACATTTTGTTTTGTTATTACATATACTTTCATCTGTTAATTTTTTTCAAGATACATTTCTTCATTGTTAACAAGATATTTAAAAAAAAGTATGAATTTCTTGCACTTGCAAATCTTGCCACGAGAAACTGTATTGATGGAACTGACATAGCTCTGCCTTTGAAACGCAAATAACTACAAACAGTAGTTTCGTATATTAACGTGTTTGTGCACGCTTAACATTGGTATTTTATTGTGTTGATATATTCTATGTATAAAGATCTGCTCTCACCGAATTTCATCACTGAAGCTACAACGTGGTACGAAATGTGGAGTAATAGAGAAAATGCTTAAGAATCCCTCGAATACATCGATTTAGTTATTGAGGCCACACCATTTTATCCAGCTGTAGCGGAGGCAATCAAAATTGGCCAAACTCTTCCAGCTACTACGTGCACTATTGAACGCACATTTAGTACAATGTGACGCATTAAAACATTGAATCGGTCTACAATGTCTCACGAGGGATTAAGTAGTTTGTGCATGCTCAGTGTAGAAAAGAATCAAAGATGACTCAGAATTCATTGAAAAAGTTATAAACAGATTTGGACAGCAAACAAAACAATTACAATTCTTGTTTGATTAAATAATTTAATTTTTATGGATCAATAATTACTAAATTATTTGTTTTTGAATAAAAATATTTTTAATAAAAAAAATTTATTGCAAAATTTCTTTTCTATATCTTTTTAATTGTTTTTAAAAAAAAGCCAGGGGGTGCATGTGCACCCTCCTGCTGACGCCCTTGCGTTTCAATGTCTTTAAAGTCTTGAATGGTGTATTTAGATAAACATGTTTTGACATGTTTTATTTGTACAAGTGTGCATCCAGATGACATTTAATCCTTTATTCAACAGTTATTGCCAGGCATTTCCACATGGTTTTTTAAATTTTGATATTTTTAGCATGAAATTATTACGAATTACAAGTATCAAATCGCTCTGTTAGAAAACCACTTTGGACGTGATTTATTCGTGCCAATTTTATCACAAACCCATATTATTTTTTAATCATTATTTCGACAATTATTGCTATGCAGTTTTACAAGGTTTTGAAAGTCTTGATATTTCTAACACGCAATTATGACATGAATTTCAAATTCTGTCATTAAATACATCACCTTTTGACGGGCTTTATTTGTGTCCATTTCATCGAAAATCAAAGAAATTTCTGATAGTTTTTTCGACAGTTATCACTACGCTTTTCTAGGTTATTACAAAAATCCTAACATTTTTAATACTAAATTATTTTAACACAAGAGTCTTAAACCAGGCATTAAAATAATCACTTTGTGACAATAATAAAATTATAAGAGATTTTTTGGCAGTTATTGCTACATTTTTCCATGTAATTTTGAAAGTGCTGATATTTTAAAACAATATTACAACTCTCGAAATTTGATTCTGTTTCAATTTTTTTGTAGCTTAAAAAAAAAAATATTTTTTCAAAATATTTAAGATTTGTAAAACCTCTTACAATTTATTTAAAATAAATGTTTCAATGTTGAAATATATTCCCTACTGTTATCTTATTATTAATGTTATCTTGGTATCTTATTTTGAGCTGTAAGGGTTTTGTTTTAATTTAAATCATTTTAAACCTTCTTTAAATTTAAGTATTTAACTTACATTTATTTTACTCACTTATTTTACTTACTTATTTATTTTCTTAATTTAATTTTACATTCATTCAAGCTTTATATTCATGGAATTTATGTTATAATGGACTTTTGTATTATGTAATGAGATAGAAAAGAAACATAACTTACCCATTGTTTTTCTTTATTTCAATTTACCTGAATTTTTTTTTTTTAAATATATATAGATAGATATTTTTAGAATTAAGGAAAAAAATGGAGTAAAAGATATTAACATTAGCAGCCACAAATGTATTTCATGTAATTGAGAAGAAAAAAAACTTGATAAATTTTGATCAATATGAACAGGGAGAAATCATCAAAAACTAATTTATTTGTCAAATAGGAGCAGAATACATATGCAAAATGAATTATATTAAGAAATGCCTTACAGTTTCAACACTAAAAAAACTAGTTTTTGCAGTTTCTGTGTTCTCTTCTGATCAGAACATTCTGATCTATATTATTTACAAATAAAAATTAATATTATAAAATACCTCCTGATCAAAACACTCAGTTTTAAAACAACCATTAGCAAAAGTATCAATAAAACTTACGCATGGCCATTCAAACAAGCATGATGTAAAGGGGTATAACCATTGTTATCTTGAACATTAGGACCAGGTCCTCGTCTTAAACTGAAAAATATATGGAATTTTAGTGTCTTTTTTACATGTGAAAAAAAATTTTAAAATGTCTTTTAATTTTATGGAAAAAAAAGAAAAAGAAAGAAAAACATATTTTTTAGTTTAAACTAGATTTTTTTTAGAAAATAATAGGGAGCTGAGCTGTGTTTTCTAAATTTTCTCATGCTCTGGCAGACATTCAAGAATTCTGCCACATTGTAATGATTTCTGGTAGCCAAGTTGCTGTAAAAAAAAGTATTCTTTGCATTAAAGTACAATTGTAATGATTTATTAGATTCATTTCTTTTTTTAAGAATGAGCAAAATAAATCAACTGTGAATGAAATAAAATTAGCATTTTCAGTACAAGCTGATAATTATATTTGTTTTAATAAAAATTTCCGATAAAAATCTAAAACTCAAAAACATGGATAAGTATGCATAAGTATGCTCAAATGCATGGATGACTTAGACATTTAGTAAAATTGTCAAAGTCTTAGCGAATCTAAAACTTTAGCAAAGCTAGAGCATCAAAACTTTCTTGGGTCCGAGTCCCTGGTAAATAATATTTTAAGCCTCAAATTAAAAGTAATCAAACCATTTAAAAGTATTTCATAGAATTTAATTAAACTATTAATTAATGTCATCCTTCAATAAGCATTTAAAAAATATATAGTTTTATTCTATAAATAAGATAACATAATAAAAAAGAAGAACTAAACATTTTAAATATACCTTACAATTCCACTTAACATGCAAATAAACACTCAACATCTAAATTTAATTTCAGTAATGCAAGCATCATTTCCTCCTTGCTTGTCTTTAGTATAAAAATGTAATATTTCAGCATTATTTACATTAACCCCTAGAGGACCGGCAAATGGGGAAAGAAGTGCTTCCCCAGGACAGCAAGTTTAGAGTGAATACAAGGGTACCCTATTAAAATCATGGCCTTTAGAGTAAAAAAAGGCTCATTTCATAAATGATACCGTGTAGGGATAATCACACGATCACATGTATGTGATCAAGGTCCTGAAAAGATTAATAATATCATTATTTAGCAGATATAATTTATAACATTGATATTAATAAAATTTTACAATACAAAAAAAATTTTTTTAATCTGAATCAATAATTTTAAAATGAAATTTTAAAGGCAATTTATTCTTTTCAATTAAACCTTGGAAATTAATTTTTTTCACTTAACTTATATTTGAAAATAACAGAATGATGAAATGGAATAAATACTACATTTATATAGATTACATATATAATATTTTAGTATTGAAAGAATGTTTGAATACAAATGGTTAAACAATAAATAAAGAATAANGAAATGAATTTTTTTCACTTAACTTATGTTTGAAAATAACAGAATGATGAAATGGAATAAATACTACATTTATATAGATTACATATATAATATTTTAGTATTGAAAGAATGTTTGAATACAAATGGTTAAACAATAAATAAAGAATAAAATAACTTTTTTTTGCATTTGTTTTAACATAATTACTTTCAGTTTAACACTATACTAATCAACATAATGTAGCATTAAATAATATAAAATACAATAAAAATATTTTTAAAAATTTCTGAATATTTTTAAAAATGTCTTGTTAATACGTTAAATGCTTTTGAAAATATTACAATATCTATTTCCAATACAGTCTTAAATTTGTCAATATTTTCTTCCTCTTATCTAACTGATTATTTCTCTCCCTTATCATTTCTCCTTCCCTGATTATTTCTATCCCTCCAAAACTGGAGGAAAATTGTATCACAATTGTTTGAAAGAAAGATTCTGTGGAGTATACTTGGTGGTGTAAATGAAAACAATAACTGGAGGAGATTTAACTTTTTACAAGATTTATAAACAACCTGATATTATTAAATACATAAAAATAAATAGAATGAATTCGCCCATGTGATTTGAATGAGTGATGACAATATAAAAAAAAAGATATTGCTTTTTAGACCCACTACGGGGTGTCAAACTCGCGGCCCGCGAGCCGCATGCGCCCCATATGAACATTTTTGCGACCCAGTCAATAGATCCAAGGCAAAGTAAAAATAAAATAGAAATGTGAATTAGAAAGGAAACTAGCATATAAAATTATAATATACTTTATTTATAAACTATACGGATTATTTTAAATTGTACACGAAAATGTCAAATTCTAATAAGCTTGCGGCACCTGCCATTCCAGGGATACTGCATCTTATCAAAAATACGCAAAAAAAAATTTCAAATCTTAGAACAGAATTTGAAACAAGGTTTAAAGATTTTAATTCTTTGGAAGATAAATTTTGTTTGTTTTCTTCGATTTTCTTAATAAATATAGACTCAGTACCCATTAATATGCAAATGGAAGTCATTGAGATTCAGTGCTACTCAAATTTGAAGACAAAGTTCATTGAAGTGGGTGTGCCTGAATTTTACAAATATTTACCGTCAAGGTTTGAAAATACTCGAAAATTCGCATATGAAATTATTTCTATGCTTGGAAGTACTTATCAGTGTGAGCAATTTTTTTCTGTTATGAATAAAAATAAATCTCCTGTCCGAGACCATATTAATAGCTCTCGTTGGGTCAATTTTGAAAGTAGTCTCGGCCAATAAAATTTCTTCAAAAATAGGAAAGATAGTAGCAGAGAAGAGATGTCAAATATCAAACAATAATTTTACTTTATATATGCTTATTACAATGTACTATTCAAAATAAAAATATTTGTTTCCGTAAACACTGATTTTTTTTTAAATTTTTTTTTTGCGGCCCATTTAAAGTTAAGCATTGTTTATTTGGCCCAAGTTTGCTTTTGAGTTTGACACCCCTGCACTACAACAAGAAAGCGGGGAAGGCCGCAGTTGTGATGGGCTGATTCAGTGGCATTATTGAATAGAATTGGAGATCAAAAATAAATCAGAAGTTGTTATTCAGAAATCTTCAGAGGAAGGCATTGACCCACAGTGGGCTGTCTGGCCAACTATTATGATGATGATCAATCATTCCTTCTGCACAATGACAAATCTAAAATAAACACCACAGTGGCAAATATTACTTATTATCGATGATGTTCGCAAGAAAAAAAAAGAAAATTCAGGGTAAAGCAGTTTTTTTTAACAGTGAAATTCTAAAACAAGTGGTCAAGCATTTGAAATAGTATAATCTTTTTTTTCACGGAGTTTTTATAATTCAGTTGTTATAACAAACAAAAATAATTCCTCTTTTAAAGCATTTATTGTGAGCAATTCAAAGGGGTTTTCTGCTTTGGTTGATAACCAAAAGAAAAAAATTAACCAATGTCATGTTAGTAGATATAAAACTCCAAAATCAAATAAATAATGTTGTTTATGATAAGTCATTTCAGAATAGATTTGTTTTTCACTAGCACCGGATACATGGCAATTTTGCCAACCACTGCTCACCAACCAATTTTGGTGCATTTTTACTGGTTCTGCTTTCACCACATGCCGTAAACGGAATCAAATATTGCAACCCTTTTGAATACAAAATCCACTTGTTTTTCAGTCATTTTTTGATCTATAACATGCATTTCATAAATAACTGCAGATCTATATTAAATAATAGTCTTCAGGCAACTGTTTTGCAATGCCTACTCTTGATGCGAAAATGGAATCAAATATTGCAACCCTATGAAATTCAAAGTTCACTTGCATTATAATCCATTTTAAGCAATAATATGATTAATAATAACTAAAAAAGTCATAAATGACTGATAGAAACATAAAGAAAAATCAAAAAGTGAAAGAAACAGCTTTTGCAACAATGTATATAAACATTTCGCTTAGTTGAATTCTGTCCAATTAATTTCTAATTACAATATGGATTCAGTTTTGAAATATATTGGTTCAACTGCAGCGACTCTTGAATCTAGTTGCTCGTTTGTCCCGTAAGAAATAATCCCGTTGGTTTTGTTTCTTTTTAAATTTTGCCAGCTTAAAATCTATTAGGTGCTTTGGTTGTAGTAGGAGCAACATGATACAAAATATCCCATCTGAGGGAGGTATCAAGAGAAAACACATAGAGTTTGTCCTCTTTTTTAATATTTATTATTTTTTTCAGTTTATCAAGCACCACTGCCAGGTTGGGGATACTTTCATAATGCGATCTGTTGCGCCAACTATAATCACCAAGGTGCCAAATAGATTTCAAACTTGCAATTTTTTTTAAAAAAAACATATAGATGTTTGATCAGGGGTGGTTACGTGTTATACCTTTCGAGTTAGTCTCTTTCTGTGATGTTTTTTTGAGTTTCTCCCATGCCTCTGCCCGGAAGTTGCCAAGACTTGGCGATTATTCTGCCACTGATCTCGATACGGAAATCTCCCCGCCAGGTTTTATTTTGGAGAAGATGTGAAAAAGGATATCTTTCTGTGGAGTTTGACCTGGAGTATCAACATCCAGAACTATCCCCCCACTAGTTTAATATTAAAAAAAAAATTCTACATCAACATTATATCAAAGAAAAAGCATTGAGATATGCGAATACTTAATGTTAGTGACCAGTATATTTTATTTTTTTTAATTGCTCGGGAAGTTGCTTTCTACAAATATTAAAATTACCTTGCAAGTGGTCCTGTTTTTTTAGCTCGCTGATTTAATATACGCTCCACAACAGCTAAATTGCCACATCTAGCAGCCTCCAAAAGTTCCTGGTCTTTTCCCATCTCCAGTTTAAATCTTTTTACCACTTATTGCACAATTCATTTCAGGTTTCAATGTTATTACTTTGATTTATAAATCAAAAAATGACACATAACTACACACGAAAATAAAAAAAATATAAATAAGTCAATAAACAGTTTATATTACATAATGTCTTTAATTTCGAGACAATTAAGTAGAAATAAATTAAACCGAAATTGAATTATCTAAAATAACTTTATTTTGCGACATCATAACCTAGAGATAAAAAAGAGCAGAGGAGGAGGTACCACTTAGGCTTTGAAAACGCATGCTATTTTGAAATAGAGAAGCCTGCTTCTAATGATGTTGCCATCTAGTGACAATTATAGTTATAAAAGATTATTGTTTCCCTTTAACGAGTATTGTATATGAAACTCACATTCATCTTTAGAATAGTTTATTTTTCTTTTCTTTTTTTATAAAAAGAAAAACTATTCTAATGACGATGTTATTCTAAAACTATTCTACTGACGAATTATTAAAAAAAAAAAACTACTATACTTTCTTCTTAAGTATACTTATATATAAGTGCATGCTAAGGAAGAGACTTTTTATTTTAAGAATTTTTCTTACATACAAATAAATTATTTGTGGTTTGCAAAATAAGTCTTACTTGCACTTCTTTCTGTGAGCATTAGCAAGATATAGAGATACAAGTGTTTTGCTGAAAGATATTTTATAATTTTTTTTTATAAAAGAGAGAGTTCATTCAAGAATCTAAGGTATTTTTTCAACAAAAAAAAACTATATAAATTTGCAATGAAAAACATAAATAAAAAAAGCGTTAAATACTTATAAGTTTAAAATATACTTAGAAAGATTGTACGAAATAAGTGTTCCCGTGTCAATGATGAGGATCGCTCCCCCGATCTCTTGGTCAGTAGGCTCAATTTTCATTAACTTTAAATTTATTTTATTGTTCTAAAAAAAAAAATATTTGCATTGTATTTTTAGAAAGTGATATTAAAGATACATCTTAAAATATTCAGATCGAATATTTCTTACTTATTTTTTAATTGAAGAAATTAAGCAATGGGAGTCTTTGATTACCATTTTAAGAATAGGAAAATGCCCTAAAAAGTAAGCCTGTTTCTAAGACTAGCGCCAAAAGTGGAGTTTATAAATGGCGTGTCACTTTTCTGAACTATTTCGGCGTGAGTGGTTTGTTTTGTAATATATCTCTGCCTAAAGAAATCAAAACCATCATAACATCAAATAGTAAACGAAACGTTACGGTTACACATTTAATTAGGCAAAGAAGAGGAAGGAGGAAAAGACTAATGCAATTTTTAAAACGGAAAAACACTATATATTTTCTGTGGCAACTCATATCAAACATCGTTCCCCCTAAATGCGAAACACTGAATTCGTTCACTCCTAATGAAATATGAGAACTTAATTTGCAAAATATTTTTTCCGATCAAAATGTGAAAATATAATTTATTTGCCCAGTATTGGCGATCGAAATGGGCTGCAGGTGGCGTAGAGCAGAACTCTTTCCCTATGGCAACACTTCACATGCTTTCCCCATTAGCGTGTGGAAAGTCATAGAGGAAGGAAATACGTTAGTTTCTCTCTTGATTTTCATATAGATTAAAATCTTTTAACTTGAAAAACTATATGGAACTGAAAACTACATTAAACATAGTTCTAAAGAAAAGTATCACGGAAATTTTAGAAAATATTTTTATTAAGTAAAAAGGAAAAATATTAAGAAAAGGGAAAATATCGTAGTACATTCCTATATAACTGAAAAGAGGAGGAGAAGGAAGGGCTAAAGGCATGAAACCGGTCTCTCCCCAGATGGCGTATTCGAGTGTTGCGATCGCGAATGTATTTACAAGTGTAAAACATAAAAATACAATATATTTTGTCAAAATAAATTTGGGGGCAGGGATAGCCTAGCTGATAGGGCGTTTGACCTATTTTCTAGGGGTCGTGAGTTCGATCTCCAATGGCCGAAGACAATGGCCCCGCATACGAAATGATTGTTGGTGCAAGCTAAATCTTTCGGGGTCACAAACTCCTCAAAGTCGTGCTCTGGTACAGGTCAAAATGAAGATCTGCGGATGAATGGACGGTGTGTGAATGTGTCCTTACTGTAAAACGGGATATGATGTATGTATGATGTATCCGGATCATCCGCAGGGATGTTTCCCTGACCATCGCCAATAGGCCATTGTGCAGTTCTAGTGCGATGTAAATAAAAGTACCAGTAACCAGCAACCAAAGTATATTTCTTTATTAAATGTATTCGCCAAGATATTTGGAAATGCTTAGAGCCTAGATCGCAGAGTCATGTAGCAACCCAATTCGTCGCACCACTTAACTATATCCGTCCACCTGACTGACTTATAACAACCTTTTAAGTAGTCTCTTCAGTTTGTCAAGGTAACCATATTATATAATATGGTTATCTTGACAATTTAGGGGGCCTTCAAAAAGGCATATGCCTTTTTGAAGGCCCCCTAAATTGTCCATAATTATTTCCTTTGGTTTGGTAGTATATATGTTGCAATATAATATTTGACCGAGTTTGTAAATAATAGGTTAGTATTAACGGGAAATATGGGGCATTTTATATATACAGTATATGAGCAACAATTTCCTTGCTTTAACGCTTTTATTATATACGCACTTACAGAAAAAAAAGAAGTTTTATATGCATATATATATATGTGTGTGTGTGTGTGTGTGTGTGTGTGTGTGCATGTGTGTGTGTGTGATGTTATGCCTTTAAAGGCTAGATAATTGAAGAGACTTAGGCGGCTTCTGATAAAAAGGCATTTTATTACCTTATATGGAGTGTGGAAAACAGTGTTCGTGGGATATTTACATTGATGGTTTCCCCCTAGCAGGGATTGTTCGGATTTGGCTCAGCTTTATCTAGCCACGGAAAATATGAAAAAGACACGCAATTTTGCCCGTCCCGACCTTTGAAAGTGGGGTTCTGAAAGGGAGTGGTTGCGAGGATCTTCTTATCTTCATGAAACGTCATTCAATTGATAGAATTTAGAGATTTTGATTCGCTAAAAGGCTTCAAAATCTCCTTCGTTCGATTCAGGCGATGCATCAGAAATCTAATGCATCGGATTTTTGATGCATCAGAAATCTGATTTAAGCCGTAGACTAAAGACGACTAGCGCAAAACGATGTATCGATATAAGACGCGAAAGGATCTTCTTGCAACTGATACCGACTCGCGGTGTGGAAGACGATGTTCGTTTCGTTATGTTGAAATGGCCTTGATTGATGAGTGGTAGAATCAGAACCATAGTTTTGAGAATATATATCGTGATCTCTCATGTTCGTTTTCGCGCCTCATAGTTTTGCTTTGTCGCGACTTGATATCGTTTCTTGTAGATTATTTTCAGTGGGACTGACTTTGTGATCTCCGTCGTTACCTTGTTCTGAACGTAATCTATTATTGAAAAGAATATATAAAGAAGTGTTTCTTAATTAATTAGGTAACTTTTTAAAAAAAACAAAACTTTCATTTTTATTTTTAAATGCAAAAATTAATTTTTATATTATATGTTTAAGTAATTTTGTACATAATTGATTTTATTACAATAGGAAATCTAGTTTAAGGTGCCCATAAAAAATAAAATTTGTTAGGCTATTTTTTAGTTTATTTTAATTTATGAAAAACTTTTTGGATAAAACTTCTAATAATTTAATGGGTTTTTATTACTGATTTTAAATTTATAAATCTTTGGTTGTTTTTATAAATAAAATTATAACAAAACTTATTTTTCCTCTTTTGGATTTGGACATAAGTCAATCAACTCTGTTTATTCAAAAAAATTAGTAATGTTTGCGATTGCGACTTCTTTTTTTAAAATCATTTAGCACTTTGTTTTATTAAAGTGTATAATCGTGTTTTTTAATTTTCTTTCAATATTGTCAGTTGAATATATTATCGAATATCATAATTCTTTTGTTTTTATTTTTAAGAAATTAAACCTTACTTTGTTTTTTCGTTCAGAATTCGGTAATTATTCAATTTAACTTTATTATTTATGTGAAATAATAATGATAAAAAATAGTGTTGTTTTAAAAGTGTTTTTTTTTTTTTTATTTATTTAGCACTTTGTTTTAAGCATACAAATAATTTTTAACGAACTTATTTTTTAAATTTTCTTTCTATATTGTTAGGTAAATATATTGATAAATTTCAATTTTATTTATTTTTTTATTATTTATTTTTTAACTAAGAAATCTTTCGTTTGCGCGATCATTTTTAGAAAATATAACATTAATATCTTTCTTAAGCAAAACATATATATCTTCAAATTCATAAATTGATTTAAATCAATCAGAGTATGAAGTTTTGATAGAAATCCGATTTTTTGTGCCTTACAAGTAAATGAAATTCAAAAATACTATATCGCGATACATCTCTATATCGCGATGCAAAACTGACGATGCATCACGATATAAAATTTTTTATATCACCCAGTCCTAATCCTGACACAAGTAATTGATACTTATTAGTCTTTGATGTTCCAGCTTTATTTCTAGTTATAGCCGGATTATTTGAACAGGATTGCCCCCAGTGATATGTTTTCTGTATGCCTATTTTTTCGCAAAATTTACAAGGTCTGGGCGGCAAATCTCGCACCTTGTGTGGCGTCTGATTCTCATCATTTTTACAATCACTTAAATGCAATTTAACCTCCTCTTGCTTTTGTAATTTAGGAGTATTGTAACGTACGTAATACGTAATTATCATGTACTTTATTTTTTTCTCTATCCATGCAAATTTGGTCATATATCCTTAGTTTATTTTTAAAATCTTTTAAATTATTTGACCCATATAATATAGCTTTATTATCTACTGTATCGTGTATGCCATTAATACAATATTTCATTAAAGATTGTTCATCAACATTATTTTGATTTGCAATTTCTTTGAATTTTAAGAAATATTCTTGCACTGATTCATGAGTACGCTTTTTCCTATTTCTTAAAATTTCATGAATTTCGGCTGAGTTATAGGAAACAAGAAATTCATCGATTACTAATTCTTTCAATTGAGAAAACGAATTAATATTGGATGGCTACGAAAAAATATCAGCGCATTTTCGCGTAAACACCTTTTTGCATATACAAATTTATGTAAAGGAGACAAATTAAAAAATTTAGCCTGATCTTCAAATACTTCGAACCACCACTTAACATTTTCATGTCTTTTACCTTTAAAAAGTGGAACAACTGTTTCAAAATCTGAAAAATTTATCCTAAATTCAATTGCATTT